TTTATTTATTTACAATTATTATTACTCCATTAATTTATTTCTGTTTTTATTCTCTGCTATTTGATCAGATCAACGTAAGAGAAATAAAAACTGCATCTCAAACAAGAGCTCGGGTCTGAACGGGTTGTAGACAAGATATAAATTCTAGAGCAGGATATGGTTCAGGAAGCAGCATCAGGCAGCGTGAGAACAACATTTATAAAAAGGAGACAGAAAAAAAAGAGGCGAAAGATACGGTAAGAAGAGATGAAGAGATAAACGGCAGAACTTTACACTCTTGTGTAACTGCTGCTCAACAAAACAGAATCACATGAGAAAAACATGACCAGACAAAACACAACAAATCATCCACTCACTCCCCGTCTAGGGACCACTCTCTGGTGAACTCCAGTGAACTCTAATGAACTCTGGTGAACTCTAGTGAACTCTAGTGAACTCTGTAGTACATAACATCATTTAACGCTACAACCAGGTTGTCCCACCTCCTCCTTCAGTCCGCCCTCCCTCTCCGGCTGCTCCGGCCGCTGGCCCACGCTCTGCAGGATGCTGCGCTCCAGCGAGGACAGCGCCACCTGCAGGTCGGCCGCGCTGACGCAGCGCTGCGACATCCACTGCAGCAGAGACTCGTGCAGCTCGACGCCTTCGGCTGTAGTCGGCTGCTGACCGAAGACCAGAGAGCGGAGCTGAGAGGAAACCTGCTCCGACACCTGGACGACAGGAAACCGGCTTCAGTTTCACAATAAAAGCCATGATTCTGCTGCTAATGTTTCATTAAGTTCAATAAGTGGACAGCGGCGTCACCGTTGAGCTCGTCGAGCCTCCTCAAACATGTCGATCCTACATAACTGAACTGCATCTTCATTCAGTTTTCAACAAACTTTAGAGTCACTCCGAGTCTTGTTGGACAGGTTTGTGTAACTCAGAGTCTTTCTGGACCAACCTTGAGCCACTTCAAGCACATTGAGTGATTTGGGAAACACGTTGGCAACGCATCACAAACACAGATTTTCCTGTAATTTTGGGCTTTTTGAGTAATTTTGGACAAATTATAACTCGTTTGTTGATTGTGGGGCAGATTTATTGAACAAATCCAGACTCTTTAAGGCTGTTTTCTGCTATGTAGGATTTTTGAAACACATTTAAGACAAACGTATGTAACTGAAGACAAACCTGAAATCATCTGGGACAGTTTTTGGTCATTCTGGACACAGTTCAAGTGATTTTGCATCATTTCTTGACTCGTGTAGAACCATTTTCTGTCAGTTTAGACAATTTTTAACTCCCTTTGGACAACTTTGGGTCATTGTGGACAAACGTTTGTTTAGACATTTAAGACACGCTTGACTTTTTTTCATTTTGAACAAACTTTGACTCATTGTGGATGAATTCTGACTCATGTCGGGTCATTTCTTGTTATTCCAGGTAAGTTTCTGTCACTTTGGACAACTGTGGAGTCATTTAGGTTGTTGTTGCTGTGGACGATGATGAGGATTTTTGAGCTGTGGTATCCTGGATGAAGGTCCGGCTGCTGACTCCTGCCTCCATCCTGCCTTCACTCACAACACGACGGAGAACGCAGTGTCGTCGTCTGGAACCTAATCCAGAGGTGAGGGTTGACTTTTACGTGTATCTCACTACAAAATGCTGGTTCAGATTTGATGTATAACCGAGACGGTCTAGACGGATCAGAGCCATGACGGTGAAACCTGTGTGACTCAGTGGAAACAAATGTGATTCTTATTTATTTTTTGGGATTAACAGAATCAGAGGAGCCAAACCCGACTAATGTTTCATTAAATTATTCATAATTTCGTTTTACTAGTGAGTCTTTGAGTTCCTCTCACCGCCTGCTGCACGGCGGCCAGCTGTCGGCAGCCATCTTGACCCGAGGACAGAACCTCCACGTCCCTCCTGACGTCCTCCAGAGCCGCCTCCAGCCGAGAAACCTCCGCCAGCAAAGCATCATGGGACTGTCGGTCCACACCGACGCTGCAGGAGGGGACAGGATAAACGATCTGAGATTTAAAACCAACATCTGCTGTTCCTGGGTCCAGACTAAACAGACCAACGTGACGATGAGGGCGACGTTTTGAATCATTTCAGTCTTTAGTACTTTTAGACAAACTATTCGAGTCATTTTAGGTGCACTGAGTGAACTGGGACTAACGTTGAGTGCTTTTTAAACATGTTTCATTGAAGTTTGGACACTTTTAGAATAATTTTGGACAACTTCTGGTCCACGCTGCCACTGGAGAGAAGAACATCTGAGACGTTCAGAGTAACGTGTGAACAGGCTCATGGGTTCTGCTCAACACGGATCAGCTGGACCTCCGTTATCAGAGGAATCACTTTCTCAATTATCGGGTGTAACAGCAACCTGAAACTTTAAAGGCACTCGACAGCATTGTGGACGAGTCTGAAGTCCTTCTGAACCCATGAATGTAACTGTGGACACATTCTGAGTCATTCTAGACAAACGTACGCGACTCTGGACTGATCTTCAGTGATTCTGTGTTTACAGATATAACATGAGTAACACTGGAGGACAGACACTGAAACAGCTGATGACCTGAGACACGTGAACAGGTTCAGGACTCGTCTACACACTGGTGAGCTGAAGCTCCATCGTCCCAGTGACACCTGAGGTTACCTGCTGACTGGTCGGTTTGGTTGCCGCGCCACAGGTGAAGATGAGGAGTTACCTGACAGCAGCAGGAAGTGTTGATGCCGAAGCAGCTTCTTGCCTCCACAGAACTTCCTGTAAAACAAACGGATCAGAACAGCTTTGAGCCGAGCCCGACCTCGCCTTCACCCCGGTCCCGTGCTTCTACCTGAGTCTTAGCCGCCAGCGCCTGCAGCTGCAGCTCCATCTGGTCCAGACGAGACGTTTGACTCTGCTGCTGCAGCACATCCTGCTGTCGGACCTACAGACCGACGGAGCAGAACGTCACCGACATCAGGTGTTTCATCTGACACAGTTTAAGGAGACAGAAGGCTGAGCTGCTGAAACGGTCCCATGAGGCCCGTTTTCAGGTCCGCTGCTACGGATGGTTTGGGCTGTTACGGGTTTTAAAGCGCCACAAAAAAACAACCTCATGTTGGACAAATTTCACCCACGTTGGACCAGTCCTAAGTCATTCTGACAGTTTTCACTCACTGTGGACCAATTGTAGTCATCTTGGACAAACTGTAAATGATTCTGGATATTTTTTTGTAATGTTAGACTCAATTACAA